TTAGGTCATTTGACAGAGAATGAGAGAGAATGGAGTTAGACTTTTAATATAATGTGGATAGTATAATCTTGACAATTCTTAAAGCTTCTTTCATACATTTAAATATAACTACTTCAATAAAATTTCATCAACTAATACACTAACAAATCATATTTCGGTTATTTACTTTTCTTTCTGTTTTTAATGAAATAGTCTTCAAATTCAGAGAATTTAATAGTGTTTTATTTCCCTATTTATATTTTGACCAAAAAAATTTTCTTTTAAAACATCATTTTTATAATTATGTCAAATGATTAAGTATATAAGAAATAAAAGTTTAGGAAACATATAGGTGTTTCAAAGTTAAACTTTAGAGGATAAGAATATATATAAGGGTACTTCAAAAAGTTCATGGAAAGATTCATATTGTCTTTTAAGTCTATTTTTCCATGAACTTTTTGAATTAAGTGCCCTCATACAGGTAAACATGTAGTTCTTTGTTTTCCAAAAAGTATAAATCCTTCAGAGAGATGTTTTGTTTTGTTTTGTTTTGTTTTTAAGTCAAAAATCTGATTATTTTTTGAATGGCTCTAAAATGTTTCCTGCAAAACAAAATCATATTATCTAAAATCTGTGTACTCTTTAGTAAAGATTATTTTAAAATTATATTATTTCTACAGATAATAAAAGAATAGATGTCTTAAGTCTCACTGGTCTGATAAAGCAAAACATGCACTAAAGTTTAACTCAGTGAATACGTTTCCAAGTTAAAATCAGCAAAATAAAACAGTTTAACGATTCTGTATTCTCTGGAAACATAAACAGGATTATAACTGTCAGATGTACAGAAGCACTGACTTCAGCCATTAGTTTGGTTTTGTTTCTCAGAAACACAACATGAACTACTGAATCATTTCTTTTTAAATCCATACATTCCCTGCAGCAGTTCAAGCTTCATCAGCAGTGCAGGAATGTATAAAAATGACAGGCAAAGGGCATTAGTTTTCTTTTTTCTCTCATGCTGTTTTCCTGTAAATGGAAGACAGGGTTCTTTCTCAAAGCACTTAAGCTGAGGCTGTTTAAATCAGTGCTAAAAGAAAATATAACTGAATTGTCTGTGCAGGAAAGTATCACAGCTAGATTACTTAGTACTTTTCAAGAAAATATGGAGAAAGTCAAGTAGTGCATTACTATCTTAGAATAAATATTATAAGGTTAGCATTCTAGCTTAATTGTCCATTATTCTTCAATTACAAATATTTTCAGTTTTTTAAATATTCTGTCAGCTCATCACCTTATTTTAGCACCTTTCAGAGAACCCAGTTCTGCTTCTAATTTTAACTATTAAAAGGCCTTCATTTTAAAATACACCAATTTTCTTCTGAAAATATATTTGTATAAATAGTTAATTTATTTCCAAGTTTCTGAACTCATTATGGTTTCAGTGAAAGGAAATTCAATTAATAATTAAAAGTTTATTTAATCATGATCAAGTAAAAACAGAATGTAATGAGTCATCTGGCCACTTTTCTGGACCTTAAGAATTGACATTCCCAAAACTATAACAGTAATTGCTATAACCTGACTCAATTTGTTAAAGGAATTGGGAAATCTTCAGACTAAAGTTTTAACAATACACATATTTTAGTTTACAGTAACTAAAAACATGCCTACCTCAGTACTTTCATCTACATTCTTATAAAATGTTTCTAATGTAATGATGGAAAAGGTAAAGCCTAGAGAAGTCTGAAGGTTATGGACTACTCACAGTCAAAAAAAAGAAAAGAAAAGAAAAAATCAAATCACACCCCGAATGTCCTCCTTCCCTTTTTAGGAATGCCTTGTGGCCAGCCCAACACCATAGCTCTGGGCAGAAGCATGCTGATGTTGGCACTGCCTAAACCAAACAAACAAGATGTTTAACAGTCAAATAAAATGTCCTGCAGCCTCCCTAATGAATTTGTCAAGGACCATCAGATTTCGCTCCCCCTCCTTGCCTCATTAACTCAAGTATGATGAGACGGATTATAACAAGAGAATACAGATCAATCGGTCTGAAGACTTGAAGTGGCTTTTAGCCTATAGAGTTTCTTTCTCTCACTCGGTCTCCTTTAATAGAATACGGTATCTCTCCTGCAGAAGGAGCTGCCACTTCGTTTTAATACACCATCAAGGAGCTGCTGATGGACTTCTATACTAACATACATAAAAGCAGAGGTGACGGGGGCTCTTCAATTACAGCCTCCTCAGATACCGTTTCCCCCTTCAATTATTCAACCAGAGGAAGAGAGGATCCGCAAACACACAGCTGAAGCTGCTCTGAGAGCTAAAGCAGCCAGAGAATGAGTTAGGGTGGGGGAAGGGGAAAAAGGGAGCAAAAGGGAGCATTATTTGCTGGAAGTGTTTAAGTTTATTGCTGGAATGATGTTTCTAATTAGTACCGAGGCAATAAATTAAAGTCGCCTTTGCTTAACTGATTTATTATTTACTAGAGCATCTACCCTAGACAGGGTAAATTGGTAATGAATTGTTTTTAAATCAAAACATTTGTAACGTTTTATCATCCTTCAGCCTCTGTATGTAAAAGTAGAGGAACGCGGGGACAAGGGTGCGACGAAACTTAGTCGTGCTTGACTGAGCCGGGAGCAAAGGAGGAGCGGGGTGCCAGGCCGAGCGGTGGCAGGAAGGTCCGCGCGGCCGGAGGGCGCCTACCCGCGGACCCGGGCCCGGCGGGCGGCGCAGCAGCCCTGAGCAAGCACAACTCCGTCCCCCGGGAGTGCAAACACTCACGCCCGGGAGCGTCGCGGGCCGGGCCGGTCCACGCGCGAGGCCTCGGTCACTCGCGAAGCAGAGACGACGGCGAAGCGGCCACCTCGAGAGTTGGGGAGGGAAAGCCCCGCACCCTCTAGCCCCGCCACCAGTCTCCGCCCCGTCACTGCCCCCGGGAGAAGCTGCGATGGATCCTCTCCAGGCTGGGCACACAGTTCCCTACAGCAAAGTGCCCCTCCTTCCCGGTATTTCCCAGATCGCTGGTGTGACCTCACGGGGAAGAGCTGGGTTACCGACAGCGTGGGCTTTCCACCCGCGCGCACCGCGAAGGCGCCGAGCTTCCTCTCCATCCTTCAGCAGCGCAGCGTTCCGGGATGCAAGCTGCTGCCCCCAAGAAGGCTGGAGCCCGCGGCCGCCCCACGTCTCTGCCACTCAGGAAAAGTTGACTACAGCTCTTAGTCCCAGAGTTCCGCGTACGCTTACTTCTGACTGCTCAATTCCTCTCCACTGAAGACCAACCCCTAAGTAATAAATCCGACTTGATTAAAAAGAAAGCAAATATTCTCTAGAAAAGGTCTTAGGGCGACGAGAGAGAAGGGGTGACAGGCCGTCAGAGGTCTGCACCAGATACGTAAGAAAGAACCTAGAGACCCAAGTGTCTAACATCAAGTAGATGGAGAGAAATTAACTTTCCCTATGCAACTGAATTCAGTTTCACCTGGTCGGGCTATAAGATTGCAAATCAAGCCCTCCCAAGGGGTTTTGCAAAAGCCGCACTACCGCGTTTTTGCAAAACGAAGTCTTCACCCTAATGGCTTCACAGATTTTTATTTTTATCGCATAACACAGGGCTGGAATATAACTTCCCAAATCAAACTAAAAATAATCTACCTGAGGTATGTTTAAAATGACTCAGAATCCAGACACCTTATTTTCAAACATAAACTCTCGATATTAAACAAATCAGAGACAATGCTACAGCTTTTTTGCCTTCCATCTAAAAGTACTGAGAGGCTACAATGGGGACTGCTTGTTAAAGATAATACACATACTAAAGGCACATGCATAAGCTGCACTGCAATGCCAAAGGAGGAGTGAAGCTATATGTGTAATCAATAACAGGATAGTTATAGATTTTTGTAGCAGTGTAGTCTTTTAAAAACAAGAGTCAATTATGAAAATAAAATCATTTTACAAATGAAACTTTGTACAGAGAATATATTCAAAATTAGATTTGCAACACTGACATTTGAAGAAAACTTTAATTCAGGTTATTTACTTCCCTTCATTTTCATTTGGTTTGAAACAATTTTATTTTCACTTAAAAGTATATACTACTAAATTCTACCATATATAAATTTGCACCATTTCTCACAACTTAGATATCTTCTCTCTAGTAACTGGTTAGTTCTTGTAATGATAAAATTAAGGAATTAAATATATCTGAATCTTAATTATGAAATAATTATCAAACAAGGTGCTTGGACTAGTTTTTGCCCTGCCCCGTTTTTCAACAGCATATACAAATTACTATTAAGAGATTTATAGTTACAAACGCTCACCCTATATCCACTCCATCTTATACATTACATTACACCTTGCACATTACAGCAATTGCTCTGGCGCTTGGCAACAATGGGAGGGGAGGAGAAAAGAAGGAAGACTTTAAAGGAGGGAAAAAACCTAGAAAAATTAGGTCTTTCCCCAGATTCCATTGTTCTCCCATTTGCCTTCAAGCCAAAGTAATTTTGTTAGAGTTTGCACCTTCTCCTGTATAATGCTGGTAGAATTTTTTTAAAAAAAAACAAAAACAAAAAAACCTTTTTGTACCACTGCTACTCTCCCTCGCGTTATTCCAGCCATCTCCAGGAGTGTCCCTTCTATATAGACTCTCTTTTTCTTCTTTGCAACTGACAAAAGAGGAGGATAAAGAAGAGGGGGCTGTAAATTGTGTGCAAGCATTTGACTTCTACTATCTCCTCCTATATTCTTACTTCTCCCTCTACCCCCTTTCTTTTTATCAAGTGCAGCGGTGGCTGCTACCGTTCGCCAAGCTATTCTCCCTCGGATTGGCTAAAGCACTGACAGCTCGGATAGCGATTGTAGGAACTGAAGCTCCACCCCCCTCATGATGGCCCTGGGACCATTCATAAACTAAATAACTCCAGGAAACAGCAAGGCAGAGAGAGAGAGAGACAGAGAGAGAGAAAGAGACAGAGAAAGAGATAGAGAGAGACAGAGACAGAGTCGGAGGGGAGGAGGGAGAGACGACTCAGAAAGTGGAATCTGCACAAGCAACCTAGCGGAGAAGAAAAACCCTGAATTGTTATAACTGCACCCCAGATGCAACGCAAGCAACGACTTCCTCACACTAAAATAGATTTGGTGAGGGCCAAAAACATTAATTACGAAGCAGAAATGAATATCAAACAACTTTCAGCGGTTTGCACCTAGAGAAAGACTAGAGGAACCCACTATAAACAAACCAACCCAGCCCAAACAACGCCTCCAGTAGGAGAAGAGGAAAACTGCGACAACAGAGCCCCCCGGAGCAGAGACGAGACCAACACCCTGAAACTGTGGGGCGTCCGCTAACCTCTCAGTGTGCCACGGACCGAGGTGCACTTTGCTGCTCTCTGGACATTAATAACATCCTTCCCCTTCCATTTGGGGGAGGGAGAGGAGGAAGGCACCCACCTACAGTGAGTGAAGAAGTCCTGCCAGCGTGGGAGAGAAGTTTTAAGAATGAACCACTGAATGTTTAGATTTTATTTCTAAATTTACTTGGGCACTTAAAACATCTCCTTTCCAGATTTCTGGGCAATCTCGGCTGCAGACCTCTAAGCCTAACCTCTTGGTAAACTGAATTTTTTCTCTCTCGCCCTCGAGAATTTTTTCTTTCTGCCCTCCCCCCACCTCCAATCTCTCTCGCACAGAGTCATCTTTATTTAACATATCAAGAGAAAACAAAAAAGTCCCAGCAGGTACTTTTCTTTTTCAAAAAACCACTTTTTTTTTTCTAATTTTCTGCAGAAGAAAAACGGTTTCGAAAGAGGGGAAAGAAAAAGCAAAGCGGCTGTGGCATCAGCCGGTCAGCCCAGGTGGAAAGCAAGAGCGAAAGTGCAGCTTAAGGGGCAGCGCACGCCTGTTTCGAAAGCCGCAGGGCCACCACCAGTGCGTGAGCCTTGGATCCCTCAACGTACTGCGAGACGCCGGTGTACAGCCCGGACCTGTGCCCCAACATGATCGCCGCTCAGGCCAAGCTGGTCTACCAGCTCAATAAATACTACACGGAGCGCTGCCAGGCGCGCAAGGCGGCCATCGCCAAGACCATCCGAGAGGTCTGCAAGGTGGTCTCGGACGTGCTAAAGGAAGTGGAGGTGCAGGAGCCTCGCTTCATCAGCTCTCTGAGCGAAATCGATGCCCGGTACGAGGGGCTCGAGGTCATCTCGCCCACCGAATTCGAAGTGGTGCTCTACCTAAACCAGATGGGCGTCTTCAACTTCGTGGACGACGGCTCGCTCCCCGGCTGCGCGGTGCTCAAACTGAGCGATGGGCGGAAGCGGAGCATGTCGCTCTGGGTCGAGTTCATCACAGCGTCTGGCTACCTCTCCGCACGCAAGATCCGCTCGCGTTTCCAGACGCTGGTGGCCCAGGCGGTAGACAAGTGCAGTTACCGGGATGTGGTCAAGATGATCGCCGATACCAGCGAGGTCAAGCTGCGCATCAGGGAGCGCTACGTGGTGCAGATCACTCCGGCGTTCAAGTGCACCGGGATCTGGCCTCGCAGCGCGGCACAGTGGCCTATGCCCCACATCCCCTGGCCCGGCCCCAATCGGGTGGCGGAGGTCAAGGCCGAAGGGTTCAACTTGCTCTCGAAAGAGTGTTACTCGCTGACCGGCAAGCAGAGCTCAGCGGAGAGCGACGCCTGGGTACTGCAGTTCGGGGAGGCGGAGAACCGCCTGCTGATGGGCGGCTGCCGAAACAAGTGTCTCTCTGTGCTGAAGACGCTGCGGGACCGTCACCTGGAGCTGCCGGGCCAGCCGCTCAATAACTACCACATGAAGACGCTGCTGCTGTACGAGTGCGAGAAACACCCGAGGGAAACGGACTGGGATGAGGCGTGCCTGGGCGACCGGCTCAACGGCATCCTGCTACAGCTCATCTCCTGCCTGCAGTGTCGCCGCTGCCCGCACTACTTTCTGCCCAACCTCGACCTCTTTCAGGGCAAGCCACATTCGGCCCTGGAGAGCGCTGCCAAGCAGACCTGGAGGTTGGCCAGGGAAATTCTCACCAATCCCAAAAGCCTGGACAAACTATAGGGTGCTGGGGACTGCTTGAAAAGCGACACAAACGGGAGTGCTCTCTCACAGACACAACACACAACTCCGCGATAAAAAGCAGAAACTCTGGACACAAACTTTTATATAAGTTACCTGAAACAAACAGGAATCCAGCAGAAGACCTTCATTAAGAAGCAAACAAAAAGAGAGCAAACCAACCCAAAAAGTCACATTCTTGCACAAAAGTGATCGTTTTCTTCCAAACAATGTGAATTTAAAAGGTCACACAAAAGAAGCAATCGGGCTTTGCCACCACAAAATGAAACCCAAGGTACATTTTCAAATCAATGTATAGTAGTTTCCCCCTTTTCCTTCTTTACCTCCCTCTCTCGCTCTCATTTCTTTGTTCTTGGTTGCCTGAATGTTGTCACCAAGTGAAAAAATTATTTAACTATATGTAAAATTTCTCTTTTAAAAAAAGTTTTACTAATGTTAAATGTATCTCAGTGCCAATGTCAGACTGTGCCCCTCCTTCTCTTGCACCTCTATCCTCACCCTAAGCAGTCTTGTTAAAAACAGTAATAAAAATATTACTTTACATTATAATTGACTGTGGATTGTTCTTAAATGTAGGCTGGTGAGATCACAGTTTATAATTTACAATGTAAAGATATGAACTTGAGGAACTAAATGCAAGAAGCTTCCGTTTGAACTGATTTACAAAATTTAAAATACAGCACGTTTTATAGATTTAACTGTACAAGTTCCTACCAAAGTCCTTAGAAAAGAGAAAATATTAACTTTACTCAACTATAATATGTTTGCTCTGTAGACTTTATGATTAAAAGTAACATTTACTTCACACTTTAAAGACACAGTATGAAAGAACAGTTTTTGATCCTAACTTTTAAAATAGAGAAAAACCTTTTTCACAATAAAAATTAAGAGATTTCCTTTCTTATGCCATAATTTTAAAAAATCCAATCTGAGTCTGAACTACCAAGGCAATATTTATGGATATTTTCTGAATAGTTAATGAAGTCAGTTGATACTTTTCCTTCAAACATTTGTCTTCTTCAATCTTTGAACAATAAAAATTTAAAAATTAAATCAACCACACCAAAAAAGAATGGATACAGCAATATTCGTCTCTCCCAGTAAATGATCTAAACAATTCTGATTCATACATTACTTCAATTTTAAAATGGCTTAGTTATAAATGCCATAATCATTTAAATCAAATTTCAAGAATTATTCTAAACTGCTTATATGCAATTCACACAAGAAAGGTTTTGAAGCCGTTTTTATAACCAAAGAAAAAATTATTGATCCAAGAATCTACAAATAGGAGCAGTACCTTCTTCCTCTTTCTGCTTTTCTAAGGTAACAAGCCAATATACTCATTCCAGTGTTTCAACATTAACAAAGGTTTCTTTTTGCAAAGAAATAACTGATTAGAAAATAAAATAATTAGTAAAACTGAAAGTATCCCCCCAAAATTGATTTGTTTTCTTTATGTTGGAGATAACTATCCACTCCATTAGCTATGCTAATGGTGAGGCACAGGTACAGAATACATGTCAGATGTTACCCTTGAATATTTAAAGTCCATTCTTTGTATTAGCCCAGTTTTTAATTTATTGAGAAAATCCATCATTGAGCAGTGTAGAGAAAAAAAATGTCTAAAAAGCAATTTTAAAGATCAGAGGAAGAAGTTTTAGTGGGGGAGGGAGCATATGGAGGGATGAGCAGCAGGATAGCAGAGATGGATGAAAAACAAGGAAGCTACTCAGGGGTCTGAAGCCTAGTTCACTGAACAAAACAGGCTTAAGTTGTAAGATTCCCTCGTAAAAATGCCCTGGTTAAAAACAGTTCTGTGTTAAAAACATAAACTTTGATCTTATCAGTTCTGAAATCATCTTCACTCTTTCAACCTGTATCTATTTTTCTGCTCTCTGTTCCTGTAGATGTAGAACAAACTCTCCTTAATACTAAGTGGTTCAGACAAATACAATAATTTTTTTTAATAATAAAAACAAATTTATTCTCTGGGGAAAATGTTCTGAATTTTAAGAACATTTTCAAAATAAGCAGTAGGTGCTTACATTTGCATGAAATGACTTAAGAGCACAGTGTTTAGTTTAAAAGACAAAAGTATCTTTAAATGACAATTTTTTTTTACTCATAAAAGTATTTACAGCATTAGACACATTTCTCCCTCCAACTATTCCAGGAAAAAGTTTTTAAGTCTTGACAAGAAGAAACAAAAATACCCCAAATTCAGTGTCATTCCTACTTACTTATTTAATTTAATAAGGTTTTGGAGGTATCAGCAAAACAAAAGGAAAACCACTGCAGCAACATAAATGTCCTCATTTACAAAATACCTTAAAGCACCAATGTCTGTAGGAAATCAAAAATTCTTCCAATACTTGGCTGAAATTTTTTTTTAAAAAATATAAATTGACAGGAGTTTTGATTTCTGGAATATTAGACAGGTTGCAGTAGTACAAGGTGATTTCTATGATTAGGCCAAAAGATCCCTGTATATCACAAGCAACAGGGAGAAAAGGTAACTTAATGATGCTACACAGAATAAGATCAGAGAGAAATAAAAGTTATAACTTCCTCCGAAAGGAGCAAATAACTTCAAAGAACCTAATCTCAAAGACTGGAGGAGGTTCTAATTTTGAGAACAATTTGTTAGACACCTTTAAATTAAATCGAATTTCAGACTTAAAGCCATATGTGTTCAAAAACATGATAGAATATTCTCAATTAAATCTCAGCCTCTCTTAAATTCAAAAACTATCAAAAATCTGAGAGTTTAAGCAATTTTGTTAACCTTCCTTTCCCAAAGAAACTAAAACACATTTTCAGACATTTCAATCATGTAACAAGGTAGATACATTTTTTTAGTTGATTTAATTTCAAAATTAAAGTTTTCTCTACATCGGATTAGCTAAATTATCAAGCTTAGAGCAATCAGTTTCATCACAGCCTTTCTGACATATAGTCTACCAAGTTTTGTCTTAATAAAGTAGCAAAATTGAAACAAAGTGCTAGAAACATGCATATAAAAAGAAATGATTTGTTTGTAAAGTTTTCAATAAAATTATACCATTTTCATCGAGATACTTTGAAATATTTATAAATCATTAAGATTTAATAATTCACATATGATTACAAAACCAAAGAACCTCCTACCAATAAGCTCAGAAAATATGTACTTGTGTGCACGTGTGTGCGTGCGTACACACACACACTTTCAGCCTGCAAAATAAATTATTCCATTTTTTTAAATGACTTCTCTTTCTACAGGTTGATTATTTTGCTCATTTTTAAAGAAACTGTTTCCTCTCAAAGCAAATTCTACCATTCACTTTCATGAAATAAACCTAACTTTGGCTTTATGACAGTGCCACAAATGTTTCTTAATAAAAATAAAGTTGCCACAATCTGAAAAGTAATCAGAAATATATTTTAAAGGGGAAATTACATTTTCATTTAAGAATAGGAAATTATGCAGTGCCTTGTAAAATCTACTATAGGTAATGGGAAACAGAGGTATCTTACACACACAAAATATGCTTGCATGCATGACAGAGTAGTAAGTCATGGGAACAAAGCAAGGAGAGTGATATATTGGTATTATATCCAGAAAACATAAAGGCTAAACAAAATAATTCCACTCTCAATCTCGGTGAATTTTGTGGCTTAATTCACCCTGGACCCTTTGAGGCAAAATATATTTATATACGATGTTCTCCCCTCCTCCAAGGAGCTAATGATAAATGCAATTAAGTGGAAATTGTTTTTGAATCTAAATGAACTTCAATAATCTAATTAACTGGGAAAGATATCATAAACTAAAAAAGGTAAGTGCCTTGCAGATAAGCTGAGACAATTCAGCAAGAAATTCATACTAAGCCTGTCAGATTTTTACCAACCCTACCCAACAGCCGCCCACCATCCCCTGATAAAAAAAAAAGTAAAATCTCCTCCTCATCTTCTCACCTTGGGGTCGATTTTCTTGAAGTGAGGATCTTCTTCATCCACCTCAAAATAGAGTTCAGAGGAAGTGACAGAAAGAGTGCCCTTTACCACAACAGAGGGGGCCACAAATTGAGCTGGTGTGCTCAGGCTAACAGGACCTGCCAAAAAGAAAAGACAAGCAAGCTGCACGAGTTGGAGCGACATTTTTCAAAAAATGAAATTCAGACAGAAATTTTACTTAATCTTTCTATTCTTACTTCTAGTACCAAATTGCCTGCCAACTCACTGTACACTTACATATTCTGTCCACCCCAAATCTTCCTCTGAAAATGCAAAGTCAGGATTCTCATACTAGATTTATAACAGGCAGTTAATGATAACAGTAAACTAGGATGCAGTTATTTTACACAGAGTCTGCAAAGCTTTCGTCTTATCTCTAGGTAAGAAGGTGGCTCTGCCTAAATAAGTCCATCCACATTCCATTTAGAAAACAAGCCTCAGGCTATCAAACATGGAACAACCACCAGGAGCAAGGAGCCTCAATAGGCTTCCAAGGCCAGAGGTTAGCTTGGAGTTTGGCTGAGGCATGACTAAGAAAAGATCACTAGCTCATTAGTGAAGTGGGAAATGTTAAACAGTATTCTCTGATAAAGATTTTGTGCCAGGTTGACACAAAACCTTTTCTATAACAACTTTACCCATGAAAGACTGGTAAAAATACTTATTTTCTAAGGCTTCCTTTCTACTGTTAAATATTGTTCAGTGCTTCCAAATCTAATATTAGTGTAGTTCAGGGACTCTGGGAGTAAACAGCTGGAGGGTGGGTTTCCAACTGAATGAATTTTTATTGGAATAATCAAATCTCCACAGGGCTTATCAAAGAGACAAATCAGACTGCTACTGAAAACAATAGATTCACTACAGATAGAACAGCATAAAGTACATTAGAGCTAAACCTAAAATAAGGACTAAAAATAATAATTATATTATACATACATATAAACACACATACTTATATGAGACATAAACAGAAAGATTTTGAAGTTCCATATCAATTCCCCATTGTAAAATCCTACAAGGAAAGAAAACAGCAAAAGAGAAGATTGGCACTTATAGTTCTGAATTAATATAGTGCTTATAAACAAGGTGTGCCTATTCAGGTAATCAATGGGTGAATAAGTGTTTCAAAATTCAGATGAATTGACATTGCCATCGATTGTTAGAAGGGTGATAGTCCTTAATCTTACATCAATCTTAATGTGTGCCAGTAGGACAATAGAAGGGATGCTCTGTGGAGATCAGAGCAGGTTTTGCCCTGTATTCCCAATGTACAAATACATTGTGTTTGCAGATGGGCAGCAGATAGCTGCAGAACAGCCATGATTTCCCAAAGCTCATCCCTATAAATGGATGAAATAAGCAGCTATGTGTTCTTTTGCTGTCTCCTTTTGCCCTCTGTACATTAGCATGTAATCCTGAGAAGAAATAACATTTTTTCAATCACTCTCAGACATTCAATTACAGGGTAAGCAGACAGCTGCAGGAGCTAGGGCAGCCTAGGTCCTACAGAAGACCCCTGACAATTTCCACTTCATTTCTAACTCACACCACTTTATTAGTGTGGATTACTTCTTAATCCTATTGCCATTGTCAAGATTATATAATTAAACTCCCCTTTCACCTCTATTACTGTATGAATGTATTACCAGTAGCAAGAAAAGCAGCAAAATAAAGGAGGAAATGGGTAAATGGATGTGAAGGAAAAGACCAAAGAATGGCAGTATCCTCCTTATTCTCTACTCCCACCAATTAATTTTATTTTACTTTACAGAGAAGGTTTATAGTCACCACAGATGATACTATCTTCTGTTTTTGCTTTTCATTATCAAGTTGCATGGTAGCACAGGTTGCAGATATGTCACCAAATAAAAGATTTCTAATGCCTGTTCCCTTAAAAATCAAACTGAAAGACTGTAATTTTCACATACAGAAATTGGAGAATCTTTCAGACTTTCTTCCTTGAGGGACAGAGCCACAGCATTAAGTAAAAAAGCCATTTAATGAATAACTAAAATTTCAGGCTAAACAAGAGAATTTTTCCCATAACGGAAATAAAACTGAGAATCTGCGGAGTGTAAATCAAAATTCCTACATCAAGCAAAATATGTGAATCCTGTGAAGAGGCACGGCATTCTTGGAATTGATTTTTTGTGAGTTAAACGTATATGCAGCATGTTCTCCAGGTCTTGTATATCAAAGCAAATATCTCATCTGCCTTCAAGCTTTAATAACAAAACAACTGGCAGAATTTTACTTATAGCCTTCATTTTATAGAGATTTGGTAACTCCCGTGGGATGGGTGATGCAATTTTGTTTTGTTGCTGCTTTTATACGTCTTTCTTTTTCAGTGAAAATTATTAACGAAAGAAAAAGATAAGGAGGGTAAAGAGATTTTTAAAAATTAAAAAATAAAAGAGAAACTGTAGAAGATGAGGGAGAAAATGTTTGGAAGAAAAAAAAATCTCTAAGTAATGTAATTGTGGGTGTAAGCTTGGTAGTCCTAGTGGTCACAGCTGAAGTAATTAGATGATTATTGTCCCAGAGCTGGCTGAATATCTGTACAACCATTGAATTTACCGGCAGGATTCTCTAAATCTTTCTCATCCACGGATGACAGAGTATCGTCGTCGGCTTCTAGGAGGATCTCGTTTTCTGAGTTCTGATTTCCTAAAGCCTGACTCTTGATGGACTGTTTCCCTTTAGCAAGGATATCTTCATCTGCAGCTGAAATGAAAAGGAAACAAAGCTGTCTATCAGCTGTGGGAAGAGCACTTTGGCAGTGGGGTAGGGGCTGAGGTAAGGGCAGATAGCCAAAGATGGTCAATCTTTTACACACAGAGTCATCCAGGTGGGGAACGTGATTGGGACGGCACAAATGTACATTCTGACAAACTTGATTCCTCAACCTAGTCTAACGTTACCCTGACCAAGCACCCTAATCTCATTAAATCTGACCCCTCCACCGCTCACTGAACCATTTATTTACTTATAGTTAGGGCAGGAAAGGGTTCAAAAGCAGCACTTTTGTTGGAAATTCGTTAGTAGGAAAAATCAGACCCTCATTTTGGAAACAATACAACACTGAAACATAAGAAAAACTGGTTCAATCCTCCAAATATTATTATACTGACAAACATTTTGAAATGGTTGGGGAATGGCTATGGAGAATCCAGAAGTAAGAAGGGTCAAAGCTAAGGGAGATTCACAGCCAATGAGGATTCAGGCCCAGATACCGAAGCCATATTTGATGTTCTTTTCTTTACTCTATCTCCCTCCTTCCTTCCTTCACATTTCCCTCGCCCGCCCACATTTTCACACACACACTCTCCCCGCCCCTTTGGCCCTTCTACAAATAGCCTAAGTGGAGGCTCAAACACTACCTCCTCTACATGTTTAAACTAAAGGGCCGAGGCACCCCAGGGGTAAACATAACAGAAAGACTGGGATGAGTGGCATCGGGGCAAAGGGCCTCATGTGGCCTGAACTGGGGCAGCCTGTGGAGAACAGCAGCACCAGGCTCTCAGGCACTGTGACAAGGCAGCAACTGCAAGAGGAAGGAAGGAGGGAAAGGGAACACCAAATCTAGGTAGCAAAGAGGCAGCTCTGTGGAAAACCTATAGTCAACAGTAGAACCAGAAAGAGGGGCAGAGGCACAACTCAAAGGAGAAAAGAGTAAACTTAAAACTCTGACTTCAAAAGCCCACATCCCTCCAGGGCTATTCCCGTTGCTTTGAGCAGCTTCCTCTTTAAGAAAAGCAGATACCAACTTCTGGATTGTAATTTGTAAAAGCTCATGTGTGTATATTTTCTTAACCTTATTTTTTTTTTAATGGCGTTACATAAATGAAAGTTAAGAATCTTCACTACCCTACTGACATTCCCAGTTTCTGGCTAGGGGAATCCCAGAGGTAAAGCACCTTAATCCACACAGGCTGCAACTATTGATATGGAAATCGAATGGCTAAGCTTTTTGCTCTTTTGCAGTTTCTGTCTAGGTATAAGGCCCAAACCCCAAAAAGGATAAGCAGTCAGTCTGCAGTAACATGACTAATATTTAGCTGTATAATTTATTCTAAATAGCTAAACAAACTGCACAGATGTGACCAGATTAACCTGGCAAATCAAAGCTTCTTTGGGTTTAACTGGTATGGTTAGGGATAATGTTAAAGGTAACTTTTTTTTGTTTTTTTTCATATTTATTGTGAATTCACCATGTATACCATTTATATGCAATACTTATGGTATTACTAAAAAGAACATAGAGGTTTTCTATTATAAGTAATTCATGGGAAGAGGCTTTCCATATTTAGCTTTGAATATACTCTTTGGGTAAATAAAATCTTATTTTCTTTCATACCTACATACAGCATAGTAAGTACACACATGTGAAGGTCTCAATAAATATTTGAAAAGATTACCTTAATGTATCTAATTAAAATGGCTTTATTTTTTTAAAAAAGCTACAAAGAAATATAGCACTTAACCACTAATTTTTAGGAAAATATAAGTATGTTTTTATATCATTGTTTATATTTCAAGTATTTCCATTTCCTTACTCTAAAATCAGAAACACTGCCCTTCGCCCAAACAAGATCATTTCCAATTTACTATCAACTTCACTGAAAATAAGTTGGTCACTTTGAAATGCAAAGGAAAAAAACATATTCTAAATTTTCTTATAAAGAAAATTATAATGAATTATTATTTGCCAGTTAGATTTTAATACAGAATCAGTGTACTACATTCTCTTCATTTCCTGGATTTATAATTCCTTCTTCAAAGCAGAAATATTAATAAGGCTAGTATTACATACATTTACCATGTGCCAGGGAGTGTTCAAAACACTATTTAAATGATTTAATTCTCATAAAACTTCTGTTAATTCCTCATTTTCAGATAAGAAAACAGGCTCAGAGAGGTAACATAACTTGCAAAGGTAACACAGCCCATGATGACTGGAGTAAGGATTTAAAAATAAACAGTGTGGTGCCAGAATCTGGGCTCCTAATCACTATGCCACACTAGCTCTTAGATTAAAAAAGGAAAAGGGGGGGAAACAACCACTGTACAAATATGAATATATATGAAATTTACTAATTTGTTTACTAATTCTTATGTCTCTCATAGTGCATTTTAACAGGTTAAATAAGAATAAAGATTCAAAATATTCATTTCCAAACCTAAATTTGATAAGCATATGCCAAACATATCAGAAACAACTAAATTCAACAACTTGTTCATTACTTTATCTGATTACTGCCACACATGTCCTGAAATACACCAAGTTAATCTGAAAAACAACCAAAAAAAAGATGAAAAAAACTCTTTAATCTGCAAACATTTAGAAAAAATGAGAGTCCCCAGTGACAATGCGCAATGGTTTAAAATAGCTCAATAAATAAATACACATTCATTTAAATGACCACTAAAAATATAATTTGTTATCCCTTAGAATTTGAACTTTTAATTTTTTAAATGTGTTCTAATCATGCTGACTCATTAAAACACAGAAATTTTGAATTAAATAAAGTTTTATTTAAAAAATTTTAAATACTATAGATATAAAACTTATGTATACAAACACCCACTTTAACTTATTTATTTACTTATTTTTACAAGCTCAGATTCTGGAATTGTTCTACCTCAAGTGAAAAACCTCTTGTCATGGAAAATATGCAGCTTACTGATATTTAGAATGGTTTTCCTGTAATTAACTCCCCCTTGAGGATTTTAAGTTAGCAGCAGTAAAATTACCAACAGTACTCTAATACACACCACATGCGCCAATGTTCAATTCTCAGTGGTCTAATAGCTTTCTGCTGAAGAAGTTTTTTTTTTTCCCCCAAAATTAGAACAAAACCTTCCTAAGCATAAAATAAAAGAAAACCATCATGTTTATATATGCTGCAGAAAAGTATATTTTTAACTTTGATTTGCCTTATACTCAATCAACCATTATTTATAAGTATCAACTACTTTGACATCTTCTGTGAGTATATCCTACACTGGTCTAAAAGTTTAATCGGACGAAGTCAGTAAATTTGATTCAATTTTAAAATTTGATTCAGATATCTTCTGGCTAATCAAATTGTTACTAAACACTGTTTAAATATTTCACAACACTATTAGCAGACTGCCATAATCTAATCTCATCTTTTATTCTGGTTTAATATTTATCCTAACTAATAATTAAACTGCAGTTGTTACATAATATTGGAGAAATGCATCAAAAATGCTATCTATAGAACATGACTTTTGATTCACCGAAGCTAAGAGCAAGGAGAGGCCTGAAAGACAGACTGGTCCTCAAAATGTAAAGTTCAAATTCTTTACAAAGCTAGTTCTGGGCATAAATTGATTTATCTATCCATCACAGGCTAGGTAAGTAAAATTAAAATAGAAAAAGAACAAAAAAACCCAGGAAACTGTTACACTTACAATATAAAATAAATCCCCATTCAAATATCTACTGAGCCAGTAAACTAGAATCAATAGTCCATGTTACAATAGAAGAAGTTTACACATTAAGAATTAGCCACTTAAAAAAGATTAATACTGGAATAAAAAGTAACTTCAAATATATATAAAATAAATATGGGTATCCATGTAACATGATGTGAAGTTGATGAGAATCATATTATGAACACGACACATAAAGAATATCTTATAATCAACTATAGCCTTCATCTAATTAATTCCCCTTTATAGTTTATGCTATTTCCATAGGATGCCAAGTCAAGAAATTTTACTCTAGAAAAACTGGCAGAAGAACAAAGGATGATCAGGAGAACAAGTAGGGTATCTCCTAATGATCATGGGTTCCCCAAAAGTTTTAGATAGAACACCTAGCATATGTTGATCCAAAAAAGAAGCAATTGTATCTGGCATTACTAAAGTTATGAGAGAATGTTGTAATTTAAGATCTTTACATGATCTGTCATTCCTAGAAAACCACATGAGTTACTTGTATCATTCCATATGCTTACAAGATACTTTTTTAAACTATGTTAAATCCTCTTCATATATTTCTTTTTGGGGGGAGGCGGGCGGCTGGCTGGTACAGGCATCTGACCCCTTGACCTTGGTGTTATAACACTGTGCTCTAACCAACTGAGTATCTGGCAAGCCCCGTCTTCATACATTTCTATTAGCATGAACATTCTCTACAAAATAAAAATGTCTTGAATTCAACAGGATTCTACTGTTGAACTGTTTCAGTACTTGGATTAAAACCAATCTTTCTACCATTTAAAACATTTTTTACATGGCTTTAATTTGAAGATAGAATTCCCTTATATTTAACAATCAATTTTAGAATACAGCATTGTATATTGATATACAAATCTAACTAGTCATCAGTTAACCTGTGCTTTAGTCTTTTATCTACCAAGAATTATGTTGGCACTTTGTTCCTCAGTTTCCATATCTGTAAAGAATAAAGTTAGACTAAACTTTAGCATTAGGTTCCTTCCAGATCCAAAATGCTCTGATAATAAATAACTGCCAAACTGGGCTGTGCACATTAGGAGAAAGTTACGAATCATTACAACTGATTTCTAATAAATTTTAAAACTATAAAATGAAAGGAAATGCCCTCAAGAATCAAATGTCTACCTTTGCCTGGTGCTGCTAATTTCCATAAAGAATATTTAATCATAAGAGGAAGTATTAATTTTAATTTAAAAATATGACTCAGTTTCTGCAAAGTTAAAGAAATCTCCCATTACAACATGACTTTTATAAATAACCACTTTGGAGGGTCTCTGTTTGAAAAATTACCTAAAGCTCTTTTCCCCAAGCAAGTTAATGTGAACTTGGGAAGGGCAATTAAATTGTCAGAATTAAAAAATTTGTTTTTAACTAGAAGGTAGCCAGAAGTAGAGTCATGGGGCTGGTATTGATCGCCCAAACAGAGAACATCACTCTTCAGGTATTTACCCTGCCACCTTTACACCAGAGGCTTTCCTTCAAATCAAATCAATCTATAAAAAAGATGCCTCTTACTACTAAAATACATAGCTAATCTCCAATGGCACTTCTGTTTAGATGTCTTCCTTTAATAATGATAACATAGTTCATGATATTCTAAGATTCTGCACTTTTAAAATGTCCTGTCTACATAAAGAAATTATAAATAAAAGTGAGAAGTCATAAAACAACATAAAACTGACATACTACCATTAGTATTCTATATTAAATATTTAAATTCAACATTGAAGCACAGTATTTATCCATGTTAAATTTTTTAATTTCAACAGTTTTTTGATCATATTAACTTTTTTGTTTTGCATACTTGATTCTTAATATGCTTATTTTGATTAGCTTCCTTACTATTCCAAAAAAAGTATTTAAAGATGCAATTTCATAGTTAACACAAAATTAAAATTGAATATCAACTGTAATTTACTTTATTTAATAAAACATGAAAAAATTAAAGTCTTTGCTTATAGAATGTATTAGCATAAATTATGCTGACATCAAACAATACCATAGTATAATCTATGTGCTAGGTTTCAGAATAATCTAATATTTCCTTATTATTTAAAATAAAAAATGCATAAAGTATGATTAATTAGAGCTTTTAACTTTTTTTAAAAAATGTTGTTTTAAATACAACATATCTCCTTAATTTAAGACTACTGAAGCACCCCCTACACACTTTTTATTTATTTATTTTATTTATTTATGTATTTTAATTACTTTTTGGCAGCTGGCTGGTATGGGAATCCAAACCCTTTACCTTGCGTTTGTTTAGTTTTAAAAAATATATGTTTCAGATCTAAGTTTTTGTTTTTAATATTTTGGAGTATTTTAAATATTAATCATTATAAGATTAGTGTAGCTATTACTAAATAGGATGGAATCACATAAAATGCTTAACTTTCTCTCAATTTAAAAATGCACAGTAAAACATAGATAACTGACATTGTATTAACCTTTTCTTTGCTATCTAAAGTAATCAGAGTAAAATTTGCTTCTAAACAGGTCAAAAAAGTCATTTAAATGATAATAAAAGTGTTCCTGATAAATATATTTTTTATCAAACATTATTGCAGAAGTTCAGCATTAAAAACACTATTTTATAAAGTAAAGTTGAACAATAAAATTTAAATTTATTCATTATTAAGAATTCTGTAGTTCTTCAAGATGATTAAATGTACTATTTTTGGTAATAATGTATTTTAATAAATTCTATATTAAATCTACACCACAAATTTTTAAATTCAGTTACTTATTTTTCTCTTGGGATAAATGATTAATAGTTTGCCTATGTGCAATTTTAGAAAACAAATCCTCCCCTTCCCATTATTAAAGGAAAAATTTTTTATAAAAACATTTTTATTGTCATTCATAGACCTCAAAGCCCACATCTCACTAAATGACAGTTTATAAGACAAAAAAATAATTACCAAGTTTCAAATTTTAAGGGCACATGGTAAAATATCTGTTTGGCTAAAAAGGATAAAATTGCAAAAAAGCTGATATTCTCAATGTAATCATCATTATCCAAAAAACCAAAACAAAAACAGAAAAAGGAAAGAAAAAGAAAACAATAAATTACTCTGTATCACCACGTAAACAGTATATGTACCCTAAAAGCAAAAGTGGCCTAATTAATTCTACATCTCTCCTTCTCCACCTCCTGTAGTTGAAGATGTAGGGCCCTGAGACTATTATTTCTTTTAGATCACTTTGTTATTGACTATTCTCTGTATGATCATTTATTTTAAAGAACTGATGTCACATTTGGTATTATATCTGATGACATATTGTGGACATTTTCTTCTAGAAATGGCTCTTTAAGGCTGAGTGCAAGAGGTTAAAGCTGCCTGACTGAGGCCAAACCTAAGATTATAGATTTTTTAATCTAAATTCTTAATATCCTTATTGAGTATAATTTAACATTTATTTTATATAATAAATGTTAACATTTAACCATAAGCTGCTACATGTTAAATACCCTGAAAAAGGGAAATTAAAATTATTTCTTACCCTTATTAAAAAGCAATTTATATTTTGTATCACAGTAATTTTAACATGGGGAGGGGCATTTCCTCATTAATCAATATCTTAATTGGCTTTCAAAAATAATAAAATAATAAGTGAAACTCTATGATCAAAGGACCTTTTAAGTTTTTCCAATTTACTTATCAGACTTCTACTTAAACTGAATCAGTCATATGCATTATAACAAAAAAGGAAAAATGTTTTGTTAAACTCTGATAATAAGACGATGCAGAACAGGAACATATGAAAATAATGTTTATTCTCTTTTTCCTTAAGCCATCTATCGCAACCATCTACAAATCAAGGCTCAGAAAGTATCCAGGCGCTTGGACTTTATTACCATCTTTCCCACTTCATAATCTCATGCTAAAATACTATAGTTGGCAGAAAACCATACACACACACAACCAAACCTAGAAATCTATTTGGTTTATAAATGCTATCTTTCTGATATTTGTGGATTTAAGCTAGGCTTCCCGGATTAATTTACTCAAAACTGAATGTGTCGCTTAAAAGGAGAAATATTTTATCCTTCTACTCTGAAACAAAGGGTCTGTGTTAAATAAGTTATGTATGTGTAACATAGTAAATAAATACATTTGACACATAATTTAATAGGACCCCATAATAAATATCAAAAATTTAACTTCTTTTTCTGGGATGAATACCATGAATGCAGTGTTGGACCATTTTACAGTGCCTTGTAATAATGAAGTTAAGCTCTTCATTACCAAGTACTGTACCTGCTGCTATTGGCAAGGAATGGTTTATACACTGACCATGTTCCACGGCTGTTTTTAGTGTCGCTTCAGGATGTGTCGATCCTAGAGGGTTACGCACAAATCGTCGCCGGCGCCGCAAGTCATCTTCCCAGTAGTCAAGGCGCCAGAACTCACGAGGACGACTACAATGAAACAGAGAAGCCACATATGTTAGCAATTATCAAACAGCGTGGTAGCACTGAATTTCTGCATAAAGCTCTCCTTGTTTGCTCTGCCTTTTTTTTCCTCTCCTCCCTGTTAATTCTCCTTCCATCTCACACTCCCCTTTCTGCAATCTTTAACTTAGGTATGTCCTTGAAAATAACAATATCACCTTCTAGTCTAAGGAACTCCTTTTCCTTTTCTTGGAAGGTGAAATGAGCACTAAATACATCATTTTGAAATGAATTGCTGACAGTGTGATCAGTTTCCCCACACTCTACTGGCATGTGCTCTGATTTCAGCCTCATTTCAGCCTCAGCAGGGCACCTTTCTCTGTGGCTGCATTTATAAACCAGAATAGGGAAAAGGCTATTATAAATATGGTATAGCATTACCTATATTAATCAAAGTCTGTCCCCCTTCATTTTTCTTCCTAATTTGTGCCTTTTTGCACAAGGTCAGTAAATCATACCATGAATTCTTGGTCCAGAAAGTGTTAACTTTAATGAATATCTCAGTTACATCGTTATGTATGTGATAATAAAATATTACTCTGTTTAGATGTGCAGGAATTTAATTAAAATAATCTCTTAAAATATTCATTACATTTAGCCCCTGAGGCTTAGAACAACACAAGAAAATGCATTTCTTTTCCATTTACTGTTTTAAATAAACCATTCCTGTAGAGTGAAATAGCCATCTATTTTCAAGCAAATCAGATTGGATTTCTGTTTTATGTAGTCTGTTTTTATATTTAATTAAGAACTACATGCTATATGATGTGCAATAATTGCTATATCGAAAGCATACTTTTGGAAATGTATTTTTTTTAAAAAAAAGGTTTACTCAAATCCAGTTCTATGATATTTTCCCCAATTACGTAGATCTTTTAATGGCAATATTTAAATGTCAACTTTCTCTCCTGTTAACTAATCATGATCTAGCATGCTGGAAAATCTTTCATAAGGAAAATACTAACATGAAGTTTTTTCAGTTGTAGTAAGAAAAACATTTCTACAGAATATATTTATTCAATTTAGAGATATAGCATGAAAACCTGTAAGTTTCAATAGTGAAATAAAAAATTATTCATAACCAAAACTCTACAAGAATGACTAATAGAAAATAAAATAGTAGTTGTATTTCCTAAGCTAATAAAATTGTACCTGTCAGCTTTGACAAATTAGTAGTCTTGAATAACTGACATTCCCAAAATAGCCAAGTAAAAGTTACCCTTATTTTGATGTTTTAAAGATACTATCTTTAAAAATTGAAAGCAGGTTTGTTAATAAGTATTTTTATTGATTAAAAATTATCTGTTTAATATAAGCACAGACAACAAACAGTACATTATTTAAAGAAAATATTTTCAAAATAGTAGGAACCCAATGCTCTTTTCTGAGAATGCTGAAGAGACAATAAGAACAGCAGACATTCCCTTTGTTGATTTTGGTCAGGAGGAGAAATATAATCAAAATGAAATACAAAAAAGTCTACGAATTGCAGTCCTCAAAAAGAAAAATTAAATAGCTCTTTTATTCTGTCATTCTACTTTTTCACATTATTTTGCTGTCCAAATTTTAAATAAAAATGTTATGTTATCATTTAAAAATAAATAAGAAATACCTACAGAATATATATAAAAGCAAAAGACAACAGTTGTTTCAACTCAGTTAATAAAATAAAATTCTCCTTAGGCGAGAAGGAAAAAGGCGGTGCACAGATGGCTATGTGTATGGCTTTGATAGTCATAGTGCTTGGATAGGCACTTTATCATTCTGCCTACCTACATTTATCTGTTAAAATTATTATCAAATATCAGCCAAGATGCAGTCGTGAATCACTGGCTGCTCCTCGTCTTCAGGGGAATGATACAATGAGGGGTCTATTCATCAGTGCGGCAATCGGCACAAGTAATTAGTTCCCTAGACTGAGATCTCCTACAAAGCCTATTTCAGTCAGCACCACAAACATATGACGATGTAAAGCTAATGAAAGCTGCTAAAATTTGTTAACCTTTTCTGCCATCAATCCTTCTAATACTCTATGCTTCAGTATTATGCAAAGGTGGTAAATTATTAATTCATCATTCATCCATCCTTCTGCGTTTTGAGTCAAATTAAATGATGTCATTCTTCTCGATAATTAAAATTATAAGAGATGTTAAGCTGCTATGATAAAATTACTATATTAGTCAACAATAGATTCTACCATAATGTACAATATGAAGTCAAATCCAATGGCTATTAAAGCACATACACAATAATTTTTTATCATACAACAGAAAAACAGAAATTGTAAAATCATTCACAAATTATCAAGTAACTCAAAGATAATATCTATAAGAATAATAACCAAAATTAGAAGGAAACTGAAATATAATATTTATTTTTGTATTCTCTGGCACTAACAAAAAATGGTCAAAATGGTAACGTTTGGCTGAAAAAAAAAATCAATAAAGGAACTGAGAATTTGTTCCCAAATTAGAAAGCTTCTTAAGGTAAGTATCATTTATGCTAATGTATATATATATTCTGTTTTCAAATATAAATATTCTGCCAAAAATTTTAAAAATACTTAGGCACAATCCAAACAGAATAAAAACTTTATACCTCAGCATGGTAATATTTATAGCCTCCCAAAGCTGTATCACTTAAAGACTATCTTCTCAACACAATCTTGTTACAACAATAAAAAATAATCTGAAGACAAAGCAAAAACCACTTATTTCAGATCACATACCTAGAAAGGATTATAAAAATAACCTAAGGAGACCAACAATTTCAATATATTTTTTTGAGAGTCTCTCCATATACAGCACTGCTCCAGGTGATACAGCATACAAAGCCCTCAAGGAAAGTACTTAGCTGTTAATCTCATTTGCAAAAATAGCATTTATAATCCACTTTCTGATTGTGAGAGTTAATACATGTTCTTTGGAGTAAAAGTCACACTCACTTTTTTCACCATGAGGATAATTACTACCAAGCATGTTTAAAGTCATTTACATAGTAACAGACCTGAACTTAAAAGACCAACGTTTTGTCTCCCTAACTCTGTTCCTTCCAACAACATGCACTCTCAATATAAAGCTCTATCACAAGAAAATGAGGCACACTTTTTCATTTTAGAATAGTTGTATGAAGGGGAATGTGAAGGTTTTGTTTACCAACTTACTATAAGTTCTGATCATCCACTGAAAGATTTCACTCTCATTTAAGAAGTATTATTCCTACCTAAAAGCCCCTTCTAGGGGAAAGAGTATAAAAAAATTGGCAAATTTAGCATACTGGTACAATTTTCTTCACATAAGGTTACAAATTAACTGAATAGGTTATTACACATTTTTGTAGTTATTACCATGGTATGACCAGAAAACCTTAAAAGTCTTCAAATATTCAGAAACAGATTGTAGACCAAATATAAGCATAGATAAGATGAGAAATCACTTACTCTGAGACCTCAGAAATATATATCTAGATCACTATATACCTATACCTTTATATATCTGTATCTATCCAAAAACACATATTAATACCATATGATGCTACTTTCACAAACTTCACCCAAATCTGTTTCCACTAAGATCCCCAAAAGTATTCAAGTTAAGGATGTGAGCTTAGGTTCTATAAGATCTGTAAACAGTCACAATTTCTTTCAGAAGACATAATATCTTCTCCATAAAGATGCTATACTTGGGTCCCCTCATAGAAACAGTCTCCAAGTACTAAAATCTTTGACTATACAGACACATGTCTTTGAAAATTTGTGGATGGCACTGAAGTTAAATATTCCAACTTTTCCTTCTAAAGTTTTTTGTTGTTGTTGTTATTGTTTTTCTATTCTCTGGCTTAATTTCAAAGCCTGATGTTAAAATTATGATGCATGTCTAAGGGACTTTTCTAAATCATCTAATTACCTTTTTACTTTTTAAAAAACCTTCACATTTATGTGTTTGTACATACACACCCTTAACATACCACTACAGTTTACAAAAAGAATATAAAATTGTCATTTTAATATATAGAATATATATATACATATATTCTGCAAGAACGAAATTAGACAATTGTTGAGATCTTAGAAGGTAATATAACTCAAGCATCAACAGATAGGCTATTTATTCCATTTTCTTGGCCCATTGTGGGTTAGTGATTGATCAGGTAAAACAAATGAATAAGAATGAACTAAATGAGAATCAGAAGAGGTAGAAGTATTATAACAGAATCAAGGAGTTGGCCAGTTAGCTCACTTGGTTAGAGCTGATAACACCAAGGTCCAGGGTTTGATCTCTGTACCGGCCAGCTGCCAAAAGCAAAACAAAACAAAGCAACAGACTCAGTAAGGTATAATTCACATTATACCTCTACTAGCTGAATATAGATAATCTTATTATTTTCACATGTAAATTACAAGAGTTTTTATAGTTTAGTTTTCTTCAGAGAAAGAATGGAAAGCCGATTAGCCAATTAACAGTACAAATGGACAAATATTCTAACAAAATACTAAAATATTTTCTAATAACAATTACTATTTTGAGTCAGTTGCTAGGGATACAACAATTATTAAGATGTTGTCCCTGATCTCATGGAGAATACAGGTGTAAAAATAAATAATATGAATTCAAAAAATATGTGTGACACAGCAGAGCTCTATTACAGGGCTATTAAGCTGCACAACTGCAGGGGGCACCGTTTACATCAAAATTTGTGTAAGTGGTGTGCCCTGGAGTTATACAATGCTCATTCTGTATCACTATATGCCACAGCCCAAGTGCTATTAGAATACCCTAACTTTTCCCTTTCACACGTAATGTCCAGGCTCCTTTCTTTCTCTCCCAAAGTTAAATGTAAACTTGGGGACAGGGAACAGAGCTAGGACCTTCAGACACTATACAGTAGCAGTTGCATATTTAGTCTTTTCCTGCTGACTAGTAAGAAGTTTGGTTGTCCAAAAATACGCAAAATTCAATAAACAGTAC